CCCTCAGCCATTCCCCATCACACTTGTGCTCCAGGCCCTGCACCAGCTCTGGTGCCCTTCTCAGGCCCTGCTCCAGCCCCTCAATCCCTCTTGTAGGGAGGGGCCCAGAGCTCCAAATGCATTTGAAAGCAGTGTTCAGACACTGCGAGGCCATGGCAGGAGCTGGCTTCCTGCAGGTTTAGTCCCTGCTCAGGGTGACACCTGGGACACAGCAAGTGTAGGTCGGGGCTGTGATTTATTCACCTGTGGGCACTGGGGCTGGGGCAGGCAGCATGCTGTGGGGCTCTCATTCACTCACCTCCCCTTCTGCATCCTCAGGTCTTTGTGGAGACGCTGGACAAGTGCTTTGAGAACGTCTGTGAGCTGGACCTCATCTTCCACATGGACAAGGTGGGTTGTAGGCTCCATGTGCTGCTGCGGGCAGCGCCTGGCTGCCGCAGAGCCCTGCCCTCCCTGTGGCTCCAGGGCCAGGAGCCAGCCTGGGGCTCTGGAGCCTTTGGGAGAGGCTGTTGGGGTGCTCAGGATCACCTTTTGGGGAGATACTGAGATGGAGGTGGGGGAGTTGTCAGCCTGGGCTCACGTTGTGTCCTCCTGATGAGAGATCTGAGTTGCTGGGCTCTGTTTTGAGTTCATAGAACACTGGTTTCGTCTCTGTGTGCTTGCCCTGTTGTGTTGCTGCTGCAGATGCTGGGTCACTGCAGTCAGTGACAGGATCTGTGCTGAGGCCTCACTCGCTCTGCACAGGCTGCTGATGGGGCTGGGCAGGCTCTGGAGCAGTGCAGGGGTGTCCTGCCTCTCCTGCCTGGGCTGTGGGACCATTGGGAGTCCTGTTTACTAGAGTTACGGGAAAAAAGGGAAGGAACAATGGGAGTGTTTGGAATGCAAAGTGCTTGGTAAACCTCGTTGAGCCTGTAATGGTTCCTCTTCAGCTGGACAGTTTCTGGGCAGGAACCCCTTCTCTGATCATCTCAGAGATGGAGCTGAAGATAGCCGGGACTGTGCTGAGGGCCAGGAGAGCCTTGGCTGGTGTGTGCTGGACTTGTGTGGCTGCTGAGAAAGGTTTTGTGGCTTTGCTGGGGACAAACCGTGCCAGCAAAAGGGAGGAGTGGAAAAGGAAATCAGCAAGGCTGTAAAATGTTCCCTCTGTGGCAATTGCAGCTCCTGAACTCTGGCAGAGGAGTGGGTCAGCAAACCCTGCTGGCAGGGATCCGGGCAGCGAGCGTGCCAGCGCTGGGGAAGGGAGACGTGGGTTTCGCAATGTGCTCGCTGGAAACCCCCGCAGTGCTGCAGCGCTGCTTATCCCGTCAGCTCCTTATCCAGGCAGACAGGAGAGGAAGGAGGAAGTCGGGGGGAAGGAGAGTACCTGTGGAGAAGCGCCGGGAGCCGCCGGGTCACCCCTGGCCACAGCTGAGGAGGATGCACTTTGGTTACTCGCTCTGTGGCGTGACCGAGACCCGGCAGCTTTACCCTCAGCCCACAGCAGAGGTTATTCCTGTGGTCCCTGCCTGTTTTCCCAGTGGGAATTGCCCTTCCTCTGAACCCTCCTGCCAGCAAAGGGTTCCAAGGACACGGGAGGTTTCTGAGAGGGGAGATGCTGGACTCAGTGGCCCTGAGGTTCTTGCTACCAGTCAGGCTTGTTTGCTTCCCATCCTGCGCTTCCGCTGCTTCTCAGCCTTGACTTTAGTCCTCAGCCACTGTCACTTGGTCGTCTCATCCCTCTTTCTGTATTTGGCCTGTTTACGTCTCCCGTGTTCACACTGGGTGCCCGTGCTCCCGACAGCTTGGTTGCAGCATTAGGGAACATGCTGTGGGGTTTTCCACTCCTGCCTTCAGATGCACCTCACGCTGTGCCCGAGGAGCAGGGTCCTGCAGCGAGAGCTGCTGCGGGTTTCGGGTCCAGCTCCTGCAGCTGGATGGGCCCCGGGGCTGGGTCAGCTTTGGGAGCAGCAGCCTCGGAGCTGCCGGGATCCCTGTCACAAGGGGAGGCTCAGGGGAGGCTGTGGCCCAGGCCCTGGGTGTGCTTTGTACCCTGTGGAGAATGGGTTTCACTGAGCAGCTGCAGGGCCCCGCAGGGGACACGGTTCCTCAGGAAGGGCTGTTTTGCTTTGGAAATCCCAAGCCTGCTTGGGATTTCTGCCCTGCTGGTTGGGGTCCAACTTGGGTTGAAGCCACATCTTGAAGGAGCAACATTTCCTGCAGCCCAGATGCTCTCCTGTTGCAGGAGCTGCGGTGTTTGCTGGGGCTGGGGCTGAGCTATGGGACTGCAACTCCAGTGCTGCGGGTGCCCTGGGAAGGGGCTGTCAGCCCGGCTCAGCCTGTGCAGTGCTGATCATGGAATCACACCTTCAGGCTCCTCCAGTCCCAGCTCCCTGCCACGGACACCTTCCACTGGAGCAGCTTGCTCCAAGCCCCGTCCAGCCTGGCCTTGATGCCGCCCACGCTGCTGGTGCCATGAGGAGGATGGGGCCCGCACAAGGCTGGGATCCCCTTTCCAGCAGGTTCTTTTGCTGGCGTGATTTCTCACAGCACTGCCCCGGCAGCAGTGGCTGCACAGAGCTCACAAGTGCAACCTGCCCTCACGGAGCCATAAAACAACCTAATAGCTTCAGTATCTTCCACTAACACCTATTTCACAGAAGTAACCAGGGACCCATAAATGCATTATCTGCGCTGGGTGGTGCTTGGGAATGCTGAGGTAGCAAGGGAGGCTGTGCTGAGCGGTGGGGCTGGAGGGGGTCACAGTGCCCTGCAAAGCTCAGTTGCTGCCCTGGGCTGCTCCTGTCTCCTTGGGCTGGAAACCAGGATGGGCCCTTGGGGCATCGCTGGCTGCAGGCAGCAGCTCCCTGCCTTGAGACAGCTCAGTGTCACCTCCTGCCTTTCCTCAGAGAGAGCGCTTTGTGTTGGAAGGGGCCTTAAAGCCCATCCAGCTCCAACCCCTGCCACGGGCAGGGACCCTTTCCACTGGAGCAGCTTGCTCCAAGCCCCTGTGTCCAACCTGGCCTTGAGCACTGCCAGGGACGGGGCAGCCACAGCTTCTCTGGGCACCCTGTACCAGAGCCTCAGCACCCTCACAGGGAAGAGCTTCTGCCTAAGAGCTCATCTCAGTCTCCCCTCGGGCAGGTTAAAGCCATTCCCCTTGGCCTGTCCCTACATCCCTTGTCCCAAGCCCCTCTCCAGCTTCTGGGTTCACAGCCTTCCCCTCACTTCCCTCACAGGTTCACCACATCCTGCAGGAGATGGTGATCGGTGGCATGGTGCTGGAGACCAACATGAACGAGATCGTGGCGCAGGTGGAGGCCCAGAGCAAGCTGGAGAAGGCAGAGGTGAGCAGCCACGCTGCAGGGCAGCCGTGGGACACCCAAATGGTGTCCCCAGTGTCCCCAGTCCCTGCCTGCCCCTGCCCTTGGGGACCAGGCTGGGGATGTCGCTCGCCAGCTTGTTCCTTGCTGTTGTGGAGCAGGGGAGGCAGCCTGGGCATGGAAATGGCTGTTCCCATCCAGGTTAACAGCCCTGTTTGTGCTGTTGTTGTGAAGCTGGGGCTGTGGGGTGAGGGCTGGGGATCACTGGTCCCTCTCTCGGCAGGGAGGGCTCTCGGCGGCTCCTTCCCGCGCGGTCTCGGCTGTGAAGAACATCAACCTCCCGGAGATCCCGCGGAACATCAACATCGGGGACATCAACATCAAAGTGCCCAACCTCTCGCAGTTCATGTGAGCTGCCCCGAGCGTGTGCCACGGGCTGGGGGGGAAGCGGGGCTCCCCCTGCCCCCCTGGTCCCGGTGTGCTGTGGGGCTGGCAGCGGCAGGGAGCGGTGATGGGCTCAGCGAGGATCCGGTGCTGCTGTCACGGGTACCTGGGCTCGGCTCTGCTCCCTGGTGTCCCATCACAAAGGGTGCCCTTCCTTCCCCTCCCTCCCCGGGAAGGTGCAGCCTCTGTCCCTGCTGTGGGGGGGAGAGCCGGGTCCTGCCTCTCCCAGCACTTCGTGGGGTTCCCGGCTGTGAAAATGCACTCGTAGCTGATGGCTCCTGGGTTGTTGCCCTCTCCATCACCGTGCCCACCCTGGTCCTTGTGCTGGGGGAAACCAGCCTGGCTGGGGTTGTTCCTTGGAGCTCCATGAACTCTGGAGCTGGAGCCAGCCTGGGGGGTACCTGCAGGGCCCAAAGCTTGTAGGGTCAGGCCAGGTTGGGGTCTCCCGGAGCATGTCCCTGTCTCCTAATAAACATCATGTGAATCAATGTCTGCTCTGGGTGCTGCTGGCCTGGCCTGGGGGAGCACCGGCGGTGCCAGGGGCTCTGTGCAGCTCGTGGGTGCTCAGGTGCTGTGTGAGGTGGGAAATGGGGCCTGGGACCCCCTGGGCTGGGCTTGTGTCCCCCCATGGCTGGGGGTCCTGGGGCTTAGGGTGCTGCTTGGTTGGGTGCCCCATGCCCTTGGCTCTGCCGTGGCTCCATCTGGCCACCAGGCTCCGGGCGGGCTCCGGGGCCCCTTCCTCTGCTTCCCCCGGCCCATGGGACCTGAGCTCTGGCTCTGCCTCCACTTCCCCTGGCAGGGAAACGGTGACTCTGCCTGGAAGGAATTTTCTTGCTGTCTCCCCTCCCTGCAGCTTAACCCTTCCCCAGCTGGCCAGGGGCCACCGCCGGCTCCTGAGGTCAAGGAGCTGGACACCCTGCTGCTCCCTCTTCTTTGCCAGCCCTCCTCCTCCTCCTCGTGTGGCTGCCGTGGAGGGAGCGGGTGAGTGGTGCTCCGGACTGTGTCCCGGGGTCTGCTTGGCACCGGGATGGTTGGGTGGGATCTGGTTGGACTTTGGTTTGCCCAAAGCAAGGAGCTTGGAGCGGTGCCCGTGTCCTGCTCTTGGTGCCGGGGTCGGTGCGGGGCAGGCGGTGGTGGCTGCGCCGTGGCTGTGTCCGGCCCCGCTGCAGGATGCGGCTGGCCACACGCGCTTCCTCTGTGGCCAGGGGACGTTCTTGTGCTGCCGGTAACGGCTCCGGCCCCGCTGCCCCTTCCCACATCCTGCCCCAGGTCTGCGGGAGGAGCAGGGGCCCTGCCGGGGCAGAGCGAGTCCCGTGCGGGTCCTGCCCGTGCCGGGGCTGCAGGCAGAGCCCACGGGGCCGTTGGTGCTTCACCGGGACCCATCTCCCCACCTGGAGGCTGCAGCCCTGACCCCAGTGGGAGCCTCGGGGCTGGCGCAGTGGCTGGGGGGGAGCCGGGACAGGAGCCCCGGTGACCTGGCAGAGCTGAAGGTGAGGCCTGGCTGCGGGCAGCAGCGTTCCTGCCCCGGGCAGGGCTGTGGGTGCCCGACACTGGCATGGACCCCGTGAGGGGCTGCGGAGAGGCCACCAGACCCCTCCTGCACCCCAGAGTGAGCTGGGGGACACGGACATGGAGGGCAGGGGCTGCCCGGGGGCTCCGTGCTCTCCTGGCTGAGCTGTCTCTGTTATCCAGAGATGGGGCTGGCTCCTGGGGCTGGCTCCTGGCTCCATCACCCATCCCAAGGCTGCACGCTGGCACCCATGGGTGCTGGGTTCTGCTGCACTCAGACAGGCTTTGCTTGCTGGAGTGTCCCCTGACACCAGCACCCCCTGGCAGCAGGGCAGAGGGGATGGAGCTGGCCCCGGCCCAGCAGGTAGCCCTGCAGTAGGTAAATGTTTGCTTTTGCCCTGCCAAGCACCATCTGAGCCCAGTGCTGGCCCTGTTCCCAGGCAGTGCTGGGTCACTGCACCCCACAGACCCACCTGCACCCCACGGAGCCCACAGGCTGCCCTCAAGGACTGGGACGTCCGTGATCCACTGCTGCCGGTAGGGCTGGGGCAGAGGGTGCTGGGCTGGGGGGGCTGAACAGGGGTCACCCCCAAGCAGGGACCCTTCCCGGTGTGCCTGGGTGCTGTGGGTGCTGCGAGGAGGGCGCACGGGCAGGCTTGGTTCCTGCTGGGTTGTGGTTTGTCCCTTCTCCTGCCGTTCCCCTGGGATGAGCATGGCCAAGGCTGGTGAGAGGATGTGAACCCCCAGCAGCACCCTGGGGGGCTCTGGCGTGTAGGGGACGAGCTGGGGGGGTTGTCCCCAGCAGCGGGGCACTGCGGTCCCAGGCTGCATGCGGCTGGAAGGGTGTTCCGGGATAACGCTTCCCGGATGGGGCTGGGGCACAGCCTGCATGGCCTGGGGGGCTCGGGCTGCTCCCCCTGCCCCACACAGCTGCCACGGGGGAGCGTGTGCCCCCATCCCGCACCCCAGCACCGCCACCGCGGGCTCCAGCCGTGCCCCTGCCGGGGCTCTGTGCCACGGGACCCCCGTGTCTCGGCGGGGCTGTGGCCGGTGGGATGCTGAGCGCAGCCCGTGGCACGTGCAGGCTGCGGGTGCCCGTGGCTGGTGGCAGCGGCACGTGTGGGCCTCGGGCTGGAGTTTGACCCCCGGCACGAGCTGCGGCCCTGGACTTTGAGAGGGCTGCGGGCAGGGGCAGTGCCACGGGGACCCCGCGGTGCGCTGAGCCCCGGCCGCGCTGTGACCGCCTGCCCCATCCCTCCTCTTGCAGGGCCAGGCGGGTCCCTGGGAGCCCCGGCCCGTGCCCGCTCCCGCGCTGCCCATCCCTGGTGGTGCAATCCCGAGGTGCCGGCGTTCCCCCCCGCCGCAGCGGTGCGGGCTGTTAGTGCTGCTGAGAGCCCGGGGAGTGCAGAGCTCATCCCCGGGGCTGCCACCACCCCGAGACTCACGGTCGTTTAATACTTCACTCATTAACTTGGGCTGATAAACCCGGTGGGAGCGAGAGGCTAAAAGCCGTGCCAGGCGAGCAGCACCTCCCTCGACAGTCGCTCCGCGGCCCCGCCATGGCGGCCGGCTTCTTCATCAGCAAGAGTGTGGCCGTCGTGGCCGTGGTGCTGGGTCTGGGCTCCGTGGCCACCATCATCGCGCTCTCGGTGGTGTACGCCCAGGAGAAGAACAAGGCGACGGATCTTGGCACCACCGAGCTCAGCACCGCCAGCCCCAGCACCACCAACACCGCTGCCACCACTGCCACCACTGCCTCCACCACCTCCACTGCCTCCACCACCTCCACTGCCTCCACCGTGCCCCCTGCCCACGATGCCTGGGACAAGTGGAGGCTGCCGACCACACTGATGCCGGAGTTCTACGAGGTGACCCTGCAGCCCTTCCTGACGCCCGATGCCAACAACATGTACATCTTCAAGGGCAACAGCAGCGTGGTCTTTGTCTGCGTGGAAGCCACCGACCTCATCCTCATCCACAGCAAAAACCTGAACTACACCCTGCAGGGCTCCTTCCACGCCTCGCTGCAGGCAGTGGATGGCTCCAGCGTGCCCCCCATCACCCGGACCTGGCTGCAGCCCACCACGCAGTACCTGGTGGTGCAGCTGGGCAGCCCGCTGCAGCAGGGCCAGCGCTACCGGCTCTTCAGCATCTTCACCGGGGAGCTGGCCGACGACCTGGCCGGGTTCTACCGCAGTGAATACGTGGATGAGTCAGGCACCAAGTAGGTGGAGGGCAGGGGATGGGACTGAGGGTGGCTGGGCACGGGGCGAGCGGAGGGAGCCGGGTGCTGACGGGGGTCTCTTGCAGCAGGGTGGTGGCCACCACGCAGATGCAGGCGGCTGATGCCCGCAAAGCTTTCCCCTGCTTCGACGAGCCGGCCATGAAAGCCAACTTCACGGTGACGCTGATCCACCCCTCCGACCACGAGGCCATCTCCAACATGCCCGTCAGGAGTGAGTGGGGTGGGAGGAGCTCCAGTGGGGGGCTCTGGGGGCCCGGCAGGGCTGTGGGGTGACCTCCCCCTTGCTCCCCATAGGCACCCATCAGCAGCAGATCGATGGGAATACCTGGAACATCACCAAGTTCGAGACCACCCCCAGGATGTCCACCTACCTCCTGGCCTTCATCGTCAGCCAGTTCACATACGTGCACAACATGTCGGAGAATGTGCTGGTAGGATGGGGGGGCACAGACCGACCCCCTGCCCACCCAGGGCTCTGAGCCTGAGCCCCACATCCCACCCCTTCAGATCCGCATCTGGGGCCGCCCCGCGGCCATCACCGAGGGCCAGGGCGAGTACGCACTGCAGGTCACTGGCCCCATCCTCAACTTCTTCGAGAGGCACTACAACACGGCATACCCGCTGCCCAAGTCCGGTGCGTGCCGCGGCACTGAGGGTTGGAGGCACCGGGGTTGGTGGCACCGGGGTTGGTGGCACTGGGGGTTGGTGGTACCAGCATTGGAGGTAGCCAGGTTGGTGGCACCGATGCACCAACAGGACCCCTGTGCCCCCAGACCAGGTCGGCCTCCCTGACTTCAATGCGGGCGCGATGGAGAACTGGGGGCTGGTGACGTACCGGGAGAACTCGCTGCTCTTCGACGACGCCTACTCCTCCATCGGCAACAAGGAGCGGGTGGTGACCGTCATTGCCCACGAGCTGGCGCACCAGGTACTCACCGTGCCCCCGCTGGCCCCCCTCTGTCCCCACACTGTCCCCGCGGTGTGACGGGTGCTGTGACCCCCCGCAGTGGTTCGGGAACCTGGTGACGCTGCGGTGGTGGAACGACCTGTGGCTGAATGAGGGCTTCGCCTCCTACGTGGAGTATCTGGGTGCTGACTCAGCAGAACCCTCCTGGAACATTGTGAGTGTCAGGGCATCGGGCAGCAGGGTGCCGGCAGGGTGCAGGCAGGGTGAGGGCAGTGCTGAGGCGGGTGCTGTCACTCACCCCCACAGAAAGACCTGATGGTGCTGAACGAGGTGTACACGGTGATGGCGACAGACTCCCTGACCACGTCCCACCCGCTCTCCTTCCGCGAGGACGAGATCAACACCCCGGCCGAGATCAGCGAGGTCTTCGACTCCATCGCCTACAGCAAGGTGGGTGCAGAGGGGTCCCCGGGGGGGGGGGGGGGGCTGCAGGTGTCCCCTGCCCTGGGTGTCCCCTGCCCTGGGTGTCTCCTGCACTGGGTGTCCCGTGCACTGGGTGTCCCCTGCACCCGGTGTCCCGTGCATCGGGTCTCTGAGTCGCTGTGCCCGCAGGGAGCGTCGGTGCTGCGGATGCTCTCGGACTTCCTCACCGAGGACGTGTTCAAGGAGGGGCTGCAGGTGAGGCTCTGCCGGAGCTGGGGGGGTCCCATGGCAGGGGCCTGCCTGGGTGCTCTGCAGGTGTCTCTTGCTCCGGTCCTGCTGCTGCTCACACTGGTTCTCTCCCGCAGTCCTACCTGCACACCTTCGCCTACGGGAACACGGTCTACACGGACCTCTGGGTCCATTTGGAAGAGGTAGGAGGGGGCTGGTGGCTCCCAGCTGCCTCCCACGGCTCGGCCCCATCCCTGCTGCTGCCCTGGCTCGGGGGTCCTGGCCACGGGGTGCAGCGCCCAACCCGCACCCTGTCACTGGTGACCCGTGGTGCTGCCCTGCCGCAGGCTGTCCAGAGGAGCGGCCTCCAGCTGCCCGGCACCATCAGCGACATCATGGACCGCTGGACACTGCAGATGGGCTTTCCCTTGGTCACCGTCAACACCCTGGACGGCTCCGTCAGGCAGAACCACTTCCTGCTGGACCGTGACTCCGTGGTGGAGAGACCCTCTGTCTTCAAGTGAGCTGGCTGGGGGCCGCGGCAGGCGGTGCTGGGGAGGCCGGGGGTGAGGGACGGTCCCACTGCCTGCCTGTCCCATCACAGCTACACCTGGATCGTGCCCATCACCTGGATGACGCTGCAGACCACTGGGCAGAGGCAGTGGCTGACCAGCGTGTCAGGTACAGCGCATCCTGCCCGGTGGGGAGAGGTGGTCCCGCTGCAGGTCAGGGTCCCGGGGGGCACGGTACCAGTGTGGGGAGGTCTGAGCCTTCTCTCCACCTCCCAGAAACCAAACCCGAGTTCCAGGTGAGCAGCTCCAGCTGGCTCCTGCTGAACCTGAACGTCAGCGGGTACTTCCGCGTCAACTACAACCAGGAGAACTGGGACCAGCTCCTCAACCAGCTTTCCACCAACCACGAGGTACATGGGGCTGGCCGGGGCCAGGGAGTGCCCGCCACCCCATGCGCCCCACTCAGCGCTGATGCTGACTTTGCCCTCTCTTCCAGGCCATCCCTGTGATCAACCGTGCCCAGATCATCGATGATGCCTTTAACCTGGCCAGGTGAGCGGTGCCGGCTGCTGCGGTGCCGGCAGCACCAGGGGAGCACCCGGTGGGTGCTGATGCTGCCCTCTCCCCACGCAGGGCGCACTACGTTGATGTGACCTTGGCCTTGAACACCACCCGGTTCCTGAGCCGCGAGACCCAGTACATGCCCTGGCAGGCGGCGCTCAACAACCTCGCCTACTTCAAGCTGATGTTTGACCGCAGCGAGGTCTTTGGGGTGATGACGGTGAGCAGAGCCCTGTGCCGGGCCTGGGTCTGCCCCAGAACAGAGGGTCTGGTGCTGACCATCCTCCTGCCCCCCCAGAAATACATACAGCAGCAGGTGACGCCCCTCTTCAACCACTACAAGAGCATCACCAGTAACTGGACCACCATCCCCAATGGCCTGATGGACCAGTGAGTGCCACAGCCCCAGGGTCTCCCCCGCCACACCGGGATGGTCACCAGGGCAGGGCATGGTCCTGGTTGTTCCCTGGCTGCCGTGTGCTGGTCCCCAGCCCTGCATGGTCCCTCTGTCCCCAGGTACAGCGAGATCAATGCCATCAGCACAGCCTGCTCCTACGGCATTGCCGAGTGCCAGGACCTGGCCACAGACTACTTCCAACAGTGGCAGCAGAACGTCTCCAGGAACCCGTGAGCGCCCTGTGCCCGGTGCTGCGGCCACACTGGGTGCAGGGCTCCTGGCTGACGGCTCCTCTGTCCCGCAGGATCCCCCCGAACCTTCGCTCCTCCATTTACTGCAGCATCGTGGCCATGGGCGGGGAGGCGGCCTGGGACTTCATCTGGGACAGGTTCAAAGAGGCGCCGGTGGTGTCCGAGGCTGACAAGCTCCGCACGGCCCTCACCTGCAGCCCCCTTCCCTGGATCCTCAACCGGTGGGTGCAGGGTCCCGGTGGGAGCCGCGGCTCGGCCCCTGCAGCCCCTCACCGGCGCTCTGCCCCCCCCAGGTACCTGCAGTACACCCTTGACCCCAGCAAGATCCGGAAGCAGGACGCCACCTCCACCATCAACAGCATCGCCAGCAACGTGGTGGGGCAGCCCCTGGCCTGGGACTTCATCCGCGGCAACTGGAGAAAGATCTTCACCCAGTGAGCTCTGCGGGGGGCGGTCAGGGCAGGCAGCACCCCCCGGCTGCCTGGGACCCTCGGGGGTGGCACCAGCCCCTGTCCCCAGTCCCGCTCTGCCCAGAGCCCCCGGCTCAGCGCCGCTCTGCTCTCCAGGTACGGAGGCGGCTCCTTCTCCTTCTCCCGGCTGATTTCATCGGTGACCCAGCGGTTTTCCACGGAGTTTGAGCTGCAGCAGGTGAGGCTGAACCCTGGCAGGGTCCATGGGGCCAGGAACAAGGGACCCCAGTCCTGCTCTGTGCTGCTGGCACCATCCAACCTGCCCTTGGCAAGGGACTCCTGCCCCTGCCTCTGCCCCTTGGTCCCCAGGCTCTGGCCAGCTTCTGTCCCTGTCTGGGGCGCAGTGGGGGCAGTCGGGTGCCCCCCGCCTGCTCCAACTTCTCTTCCCCTGGCAGCTGGAGCAGTTCAAGGCAGACAACCAGGACATCGGCTTCGGGTCAGGGACACGAGCGCTGGAGCAGGCGCTGGAGAGGACCCGCACCAACATTAACTGGGTCAATGAGAACCAGCAGAAGGTGCTGGCCTGGTTCCAGGGCGAGACTGGCTCCAGCTCCCCAGCTAACCAAATAACCAGCTAACCAGTGAATGTGCTCACCTCCCAGAGCCCACCGCCCCACAGCCTCGCCCCCTCCACATCTCTCTTCACTCCATCCCCTCGATCTCCCATCCTGAAACGCTCCATCCTGGGGACACCCCAGGGACACCCCAGGGTCGCTGCTCCTGAGGGGCTGTGCCTGACGCCTGTATGATGGGCAGCAGAGGGGGTAATGGGAGGCTTTGGGCCTGGGGGGGGCCTGCAGCCATTGCTGCCCAGTGAGGCACTGGGTTCTGCGGGCTCAGGCAGGGCCTGGGATGTAAATAAAGGGTTCACACCATCACCCTGCTCTGGGTGCTGCCGGGGGGGGGGGGGGGCAGGAAGTGCCTGGGACCGTGGGGTGGGGACCGTTAGGAGCCTGGTGCTAAGTGGCTCTGGGGGCTTTGGTGACGCCAGGCCCCAGCCCCTCTGTCTGACGGCTGCGTGTGAGCTCTCCTGCTGGGCCCCTGCCCTGCTTGGGCGCTGCTGTGAGCACCCCCTGCACTGTGTGACACCCCGGCAGCCTCTGCAGGATAGGGCAGGAGGCACCGGTGTGGGCATGGGGTGCAAAAGGGTGCTGCAGCCGCACGCCATGGGACATCCGGGTCCCCAAGGGATGGAGCTGGATGGTCCCAGCAGCCCCAGTGCCAAACCCTTGCAGGGAAGGGGCAGAAGCTGCCTTTCCAGGTATTGGGGGGGGCTGGAGGAGCCCCCCAGGTGGTGGGTCTCTCCATCACCCTTAGGGACAGCTCTGGGCTGCGGGTGCCCCTGGCTTGGAGGCAGTGCCTGGCTCTGTGTGCTTATGGGGGTACCAGCCCATGGGGTGCCTTGGTTCCGGAGGCACTGGAGCTGGGGCGCAGCGATCGGGGTCCCGCAGTAATGACCCGAGTTGCAGCAGTGCACAGCAGCTTTATTGAGGAGCCCGGCCCCGGTGTCCATCCAGCACGGCCACAACCCTGTCCCCTGTGCAGCCTCTGTGGCCATGCAGGATCAGCTCCAGCCCCCCCAGTGCCGTGCTGGGGGGCAGCCAGGCAGGACTGAGGCCGTGTGGGGCACTGCAGCGAGGATTCTGTCCGGAGCTGATGGGATGCAGAGCTGTGTGGGAAGAGCTGTGTGAGGTGAGAGGCTGCAGGAAGGCACCGTGGCCCTGTCCAGCACCCCGAGTCCCTGCCCAGCTCCCTGTGTCCCTCACCTCTGGCCCCACATCCTGTGCCCCATCCCGCACACTCATTCTCTGGCTCAGCACACGTCGTGCTGTGCCACAAGCCCAGGCAAACACCCTGGCCATGCCGTGGGGGGGATTTATAGATGAAGCCCGTCCCGCACCCCATAAAGAGTATCCACACCCCTGCCCACCCATCCTTGGGCTCTCTCCCAGCCCCGGGGCGGGCGGGAGGAGGGAATGGGGATGAGGCTGTGAGTACCTGGAGGTGTGCGGGCAACTGGGAGCCAGGCGCTGGGGTCGCAGGGGGACCTGTGTCCGTCAGTCCTGCCGTGGGAGGCTGAGGAGGGGCTGCAGGCTCCAAGCAGCAGGAGGAAGCTGGAGCTGTGCCCGTGGCCGGGGTGCGCCTCTGGAGGGGCTGCAGGGAGGTCACTGCTCCGAGGCTGCACAGCGGGGACGACCAGGACCTTGAGGTGGAGCCAGGGCTCCCGTGCAGCTCCGGGGGGGTCCTCACCGAAGGGATGTAGGGGGGCGAGCCCCAGGCTCCCGGCCCCAGGTCTGGAACCCCAAGCACCTCCGGGGGGGGCCCTGCTGCAGCGCCACAGGGAGGCGACGACCCCCAGGCCCCCGGCCCCACGCCGGCAGCCCCGAGCAGCCCCGGCGGGGGCCCGGCCACGGGAGGTGACCCCCAGCCCGCAGCGCCGGGGGGCGAAGCATCGCGCGGGGCCGGTGCGGGCGGGAGCGGGCGGGGGTCCGGGCTCCGGCAGCACCCCAGGCCCTGGGGGCAGAGCGGGCAGTGCCGGGGCGCCGTCCCCCGCCGCCGGGCCAGCGCCTCCTCGCTGAGCCCCAGCAGCGCCGAGAGGTGCGCGATGTAGCGGGCGGCCAGGCGCAGGGTCTCGATCTTGGTGAGGCTCTGCCCGGCGGGCGCCAGCGCGGGCGGCAGGTAGTGCCGCAGCCGCAGCAGGGCCTGCGCCAGCCGCCGCATCCGCAGCTTCTCCCGCTCGCTGGCGCTCTGCCGCGGGCCCCGCTCCCCGCACCGCCACGGCTCGGCCCCGGGCCCCGGCCGCCGGCCCCGCGGGGGGCAGCGGGACGTGCCGTGGGGAGCGGCGGGAGTTGGGGGGGTGGCATCGTCGAGGCCCCGCAGAGGGGCACCGTGTCCCGGGAGCTGGAAGCCGCAGGGCAGGAGCGGGGCTGGGGGTCCGGCCATGGCTCCGCTGCCCGGGACTAGGGGTGCCCCGGCTTTATGCGACGTGATGTCTTTGTGGCCGCCCGGAGGTGTCAAAACCTACAGAGCCGGGTTGGGGCCGGCCGGGAGCCTGGGAATGCCGGACCCATTTGCAGAGGTGTCAGTTCTGACTCCTCCGACCCTTAATTGGCGCTGCCCGGCGCTGGGAAGTGTGCAGGAACCAATTCACACGGCCATGAGAGATCCTAACGCGTCCACCAGCCCTGCCAAGCCCTCATCGCCTTGCACGGAAGCCCTGCCAGTGGGACTTGACCTTCCAGTGCTGGCACCCTAACACCCAGCGGTGTCCCCACACCTCCCCAGGGCCAGGAGCCCTTGCTGTGCCCACAGCTCAAACCAAGTGCCCTGAGGGGCAGGGATGTGCTGGGCACCAGTGGTAGGATGAGAATGGAATCACAGAATCCCAGACTGGTTTGGGTTGAAGGGACCTTAAAGCCCATCAAGGTCCAACCTCTGCCACGGGCAGGGACCCCTTCCACTGGAGCAGCTTGCTCCAAGCCCCTGTGTCCAACCTGGCCTTGAGCACTGCCAGGGATGGGGCAGCCACAGCTTCTCTGGGCACCCTGTGCCAGCGCCTCAGCACCCTCCCAGGGAAGAGCTTCTGCCTAAGAGCTCATCTCAGTCTCCCCTTGGGCAGGTTAAAGCCATTCCCCTTGGCCTGTCCCTACATCCCTTGTCCCAAGCCCCTCTCCAGGTTTCCTGCAGCCCCTTTAGGCACTGGAGCTTCTATTCTCCAGTCGAACACCCCTGGCTCTCAGCCTGGCTCCAGAACACAGCTGCTCCAGTCCTCGGAGCATCTCCATGGCCTCCTCTGGACATATTCCTTTCCCAGGAGACATCCCTGTGCTGGCTGCACTGATTTCGTCTTCCTGACCCACTGTATGAAACCCAGGCTGTGGACTGGGTTCCCAGTGGGCAGCCCCATGGGGATGTTGAGCTCTTTGGGATGCTTGTTTCCTGGGATGCTTTTATATCCCTCACCCCTGGGCCTGGCACTATCCTTGCCAGCGGTCCCCATCCTAGCTGGGGGTACAGGAGTGCACAGCCAGGGCTGGGAGCCATGCAGACAGAGGTGCTGGAGCAGGGACAGTGAGTCCCAGGAGGATATCAAGGTGTTCTGGGGAGGCTCCCTGGTGGGATTCCTTATTGGAGGACTGGCTGCTCCTGGGGCACAGGAGGGCTTTGGCCAGCAGCATCATGAGAAGCCATGGGGCTAAGCTCCATTCCTGTGCCCTCACCACCACCCTAAGGTCCTAAACGTGCCAGAGGGATGTGGGGGGATCCATCTCCCCTGAAGGGTGGGGGGCTGCTGGCTGTCCCTCGCGGGGCTCTGACCCCACATCAGCGCTGTCACGGCCCAGCCGTGCTCCAGCACTTGTCTAAACAGAGGGAGGTGGGAAGCGGCCGCAGCGGGGCCGCAGAACTCATTACCCGGGAGCTCATCAGCTAATGAGACCCAGGAGGGGGCCCGGGAATGGGCGGGGGAGCGGAGGTGGGGCAGCGCCTAGGGGCACAGGGGAAGGGGCCGTGCCCTGGGCTGTGCTGTTGCGTGCTGAGCACCCCGCAGAGCGCCCTGGACCCCCACTGCAGCCCCCAGGGATGGAGACGGGCTCTGGGACAGCATCAGGCGTGTGCACCCAGAGACGTGCTGGGGGTCCGGATAGGTGCCAGCACCCTCGGGCCTTGGATGGGGCATGGCGCTTCCTCCAGCAGCACCGGGCCGAGTGCCATGGCACGCGTGGTGGCATGAGGGGACCACAGCAGGTCAGTGTCCCGTCCCCACTGCCCATGCACCGCTGGACCCCTGGAGCTCTGGACACCCGCGCAGCGGGGCCGGGGGCCGGGGCTGCCCAGGCTGAGCCGTGTGCGGGTTCCAGTGTGGCAGGAGCGCTCAGGCAGCAGTGAACGATAAGCAGGGCTTTTGTCACCTCCATCTCACGGCATTGCCAGGGAAAACTGAACAAGTTTCATGTGACCGCTAGGAAAAACGAGCCCGTGAGCAACGAGGCGCTGATCAGCCGCTGTGTCACCAGCAGTTCCCCGGGGAGGGGCTGCCCTGTCACCCCACTGCTGGCTCCGTGCCCCGTTCCCAGCTCTGCGCCTGGTGCCTGATTTTATACAGGGGCGCTTGCACCTCCGGTTGCGGGGAGTGCCGAACCCCGCCGTACCCCGGGCTGTGCTGCGGGGTCCCCATGCTGGGGTTCCCGTGCTGGGCTCCACGTGCCGGTGCCGCCCCCGCCCGCTCCCTGATGGATTTTCCTTCCCGCGCGGGGCCGGTTTCCCTGGAAACGTTCGCACCCGCCGGCACCGACACCTGCGGGGCCTGGGAACGCGGCGGGGGGGCCCCTCACACACCCCCCCCGTGGGGTCACCGCGCCCGGGGCCGCCCCTCGCAGCGCTCCGGCACCGGCACCGGGCTGCAGCCGCTCTCCCGATGGGTGACTACGAAGCGCAGCTAGTGGGGACCTGGAGGGGGCGGCCCCGGGTGCGGTGTCCCCGGGAGCCACCCTGTGTGGTGGTGGACGTGGGCCCCCCGAGCTGGCACTTCTGCAGCTTGCACCCGAGTGCAGACCCTATAGGACACCCCACTGCAGCCCCCACCGCTCACCCCACTGCCGCCCCCACCGCTCACCCCACTGCCCAGGGCCCAAGCCCATCCTCGGAACAAGAGGCAGGGTGATGGTTGGCGGGGAGGGGGTAGGCAGCCAGAGCAGCCCCACAGCTCTGGGGTGAGATTTGTCACCCCCGTGTTCAGAGCCCTCGCCCCCCACCCCGGCCTTTGAAGTGCTGCTGGTGGCGGCCACGAAGGTGCCACTTCACACCTCGGACTCGCATAAAGGCGAGGCCGGCCGGGAGACGCCGGCACACGGCCCCGCAGCAGCAGCCATGGCAGCCCCCGGCCTCCCGCTGCCCCCCACATCCCTGCTGCAGCACTGGGGCTGCCGCGGGCCCCCGGACCCCGAGGGCTACAGCAGCAGCTCGCCCGCAGCCTCGCCCGACTCCTGCGGCCTCTCATCGCCCGCCGCTGCCCGGGGACCCCGGAGCGGGCCCGCTGCCCCCCGCGGCCCCAGGGGCAGGAAGGGAGCGCGGGGAGCGGGGGGCCCGCGGCAGAGCGCCAGCGAGCGGGAGAAGCTGCGGATGCGGCGGCTGGCGCAGGCCCTGCTGCGGCTGCGGCACTACCTGCCGCCCGCGCTGGCGCCCGCCGGGCAGAGCCTCACCAAGATCGAGACCCTGCGCCTGGCCGCCCGCTACATCGCGCACCTCTCGGCGCTGCTGGGGCTCAGCGAGGAGGCGCTGGCCCGGCGGCGGGGGACGGCGCCCCGGCACTGCCCGCTCTGCCCCCAGGGCCTGGGGTGCTGCCGGAGCCCGGACCCCCGCCCGCTCCCGCCCGCACCGGCCCCGCGCGATGCTTCGCCCCCCGGCGCTGCGGGCTGGGGGTCACCTCCCGTGGCCGGGCCCCCGCCGGGGCTGCTCGGGGCTGCCGGCGTGGGGCCGGGGGCCTGGGGGTCGTCGCCTCCCTGTGGCGCTGCAGCAGGGCCCCCCCCGGAGGTGCTTGGGGTTCCAGACCTGGGGCCGGGAGCCTGGGGCTCGCCCCCCTACATCCCTTCGGTGAGGACCCCCCCGGAGCTGTACGGGAGCGCCGTCACCTCCGACACGTGTTCGTGGCCATCCCCCCTTCATGGGGCAGGAGCTCCTCCTGACCTCCCCGGAGACCCCCTCCTGGATGCGGGGCTGATGCTGCCAGAGTTTGTGGATGCAGGGACTGTCACCCAGGTACGTGGCTGGGGTGAGCCCATGGGCACAGGTTACTCCCTTGTGCACTCAGAGCTTGGGGCACTGTGAGGACCAGATCTGGGGTGACAACAGCCTTGTCTGGGGTTAGGAAGGGGAAGGTGTCCCTGCCCTCCCTGTAGCGGGTGCATGCGGGTCCCTGACCCTCCCCAGTGCCACCCTCCCTCGTGTTCAGCTGGTCCCATTGTGGATGGGCTCTATCAACCGCCCCAAGCTCCTGTCCTGGCTGGTCCCCCTCTGACCCATGCTGCTCCCCAGGACCTGTCTGCAGACCTGCTCTCCCTTTTGGAAGCCCTGCTCCCGTCACAGCGCCAGGACTGACCCAGTCAAACCCCAGCTGCCCGGTGCCATGTGGCCCCATGATGCACTACATGGATGAAACAGCTCGTGGGACCGTGTCTCCTCTTGGACAGTGGGGGGGTGGTGGGAAGGAGCTGCCTCTCATGTGGGCCTGGAGCTGTGCTGGACACTCTGGGGTGCTGCGACTGTACATAAATAAACCCTCGCACCCCTCCATGTGTCACCGTGTGGTGTTCCCACCGCAGGAGCCAGGTACAGGATGGGATGCTCCATTCCCGGGTCACTGCATTGGCTCTGGGGTCAGGTTTGGGTACAGGAGAGGATGCCCAAGCTGGTGAACTCAGGCTCTGCAGACAGGCCGGGCACAGGCATCTCACCGGGCTCTGGTGTGGGTACAAGCATTGCCTGGCTGGGCTGCAGAGGTTGGGGACTGCTGCTCGGGCAGGCTGGACCACATCTGGGAAAGGCATTGTGGGGAGGCTGAGGAGGAATGGGGGTCACCAACACCCTCGGGTCCAGCTCTGCGGCTCGGTGTGAGATGAGCATTGCCCGCCCCCCGTGCTGGTGCGAGCCCCACAGCACAAAGTGAAATGTGGGTGTTGAGGATCCAGCAACAGGCTGGGGCGTGGGGCTGACCCCCCCCCCCCCCCCAACGGGGCTGGAGACCCCGCAGACAGAGTGGAGGGCGGGAGGGCGGGGGGGGGGGGGGGGAGTTACAGGGGAACCTCCTCCACGGGGGTCCCCCATTAATGGGACTGTGCTGGGGCTGGCAGCCGGGTGCGAACGCGCCGGGGCTCTGGGGCGGGGGCCTGCGGGGCTAATGAGCGGCGCTTATCTGTGAAATGACTCGCTAATTACGTTAATTCCCTCTGCCGAGGCGGGCGAAGCCTTTGAGATGCAAAACAGTCCCCGTCTGCGGATGTCCCCAGCCAGGGCTCAAGGGAGCTGGGGCGCTCCGGCTGTGGGGACATCCCTGCTGCCCTGAGCACCTACCCTGCTCCTGGGGGCTGACCGGGGCAGGCAGCTGCACAAGGTGCTCAGCAGGGGCCATGCTCCATTAGGGTGGGATCAGGGATGAGCCGGTGGAGCGGGAGCGGGTATGGAGGGGCTCGGACTGCAGGCAGAGCTGTCCGTGCACATGCACATCCATATCCATGTTCTGCATCTGTGAGTGTATCAACAGAACGGTGAACCTGGGTCTGTGTGTGTGTGTGTGTGCGTGTGTACACGAGCTCTGTGCACACTCAGGTGTCCCTGTGCACGGGGGGTGGTGCAGGGTGCTGGACTGAGCTGTTCCCAGCTGGGCTACGTCAAGGAGGAACCTGAGCTACCAGCCAAGGGCACCCAGAGCTGCCTGCCAAGTGTCTCCTGGCAGCGGGTGCAGAGGTGCTGCGGGTGCCGGAGCCAGCAGAACCTTCCCCACTCATTCACCAGGCACAGTGCGGGTGTGGACGAGCAGTGACCCTGCCATGGCTGGACAGGACACCCTGGCTGGAGGTGAGGTGGTGGTGCTGGTGGGGAGCGGGTGCTGGTTCCCTTGGGAACTCTGGAATTGCGCGCCAGTGTCTCCATCCCCATGCAGGACCACAAGGGATGCTCCAGGCTGCGGGATGATGGGCAGCACTTGGGGTCAGCCAAGACTGTTTCACTCTGCCCTCTTTGGTGCCAAGGACCCCTGTGGCAATGTGAGGGGCTCGGGGGGAGCAGCGGGGATGGAGGGAGCAGCTGAAGGGGGAGGCAGTGAGCTGGGGGGAGCTGAGGTGCAGACACCGTGGTGTGGGGCAGGGAGCAGGGCTCCAAGGGACCCATCCCCCCGGAGCCCGCATCCCAGGCTGCCTGTTGCCGCAGGAGGCGGCCGTCTGGACGCAGACCCCATGGGGAACGCCAGCGTGGAGCCCCCCAGCAACGTGGGCGCCCTGCATCAGGGCTGCGCCTGGACCCTCCCGGCGGAGGGGGCTGAGGAGGCGCTGCGGGTGCCCACGTTCTCACCCGCTGCCCAGGCGCGTGTGGCCATCACCTTTGCCCTGTTCGCCCTCTCCGCCGGCTGCAACCTGGCGGTGCTGCGTGCGGCGGGGGCCCGGCGCGGGGCCCGGCGCTCCCACGTCCGCCTGCTGCTGCAGCACCTCGCTGCTGCCGACCTGCTGCTCACCGTGGCCGTGATGCCGCTGGACGCCATCTGGAACATCACGCTGCAGTGGCGGGCGGGCGACCTGGCCTGCCGCCTCCTCATGTACCTCCGCCTGCTGGCCATGTACGCCTCTGCCTTCGTCACCGTCGTCATCAGCCTGGACCGGCAGGCGGCCATCCTGCGCCCGCTGGCCATCGCCCGTGCCCGGAGGAGGAACCGCATCATGCTGCAGGTCGCCTGGCTCCTCAGCGCGGTGCTCTCAGCACCACAGGTACCAGCGCAGGGCTCCGCTCCGGCTCATGCCCCATGGAAGGCTCCCACCCTTCCAGGGTGTCAGGCTGGGTTAATCCCAGGGCCGGTGCTGCCGTGAGCCCTGCAGGACAGGGATGGAGAGGGCTTGGAGGAGAGGCAGCCGAGTGCCCTCCTCTGTGTGCCACGATTCCCTGGGAGTGGGGAGCCCGTCTGGTGCATGCGTGACTCCGGGTCCCACTCCGATGACCAGGGCCTGACCCTGTGGCTCCAATAGTCCCTGGCTTGGATACTGGTGTTCTACCTTAGGGAGGCCTGGAGCCCCTGGAGAGGGGGCCGCCATCCCACCTCTGCTTTGCCTCCAGCTCTTCCTCTTCCGCACGGTCACAATCACCATCCAGCCCCTGCACAACTTCACGCAGTGCACCACGCTCGGCAGCTTTGCCCAGCCCTGGCATGAGACCTTCTACAACATGCTGGGCTTCACCTGCCTCTTCCTGCTCCCACTGCTCATCATGGTCTGCTGCTACACCCGCATCCTCCTGGAGATCTCCCGGCGCATGGGCTCCAGCCTCTGTGAGTGCCCGAGATGCCATGACCCCGTGCCAGGGGGTTCTGCAGGGACACTGGGATGGGGAGAGCAGGAGGGAGCCCTGGCTGGAGCTGTGTGGGCACCCCGCAGCCCTCCCTTAGGGAATGGGGTCCCCATTCCAGACAGGTTGCTCAGTGTCCCCCACTGAGGCCATGGTCTCCCTCAGTCTCCTCCCAGGATGCATCGCTGCGGTGCTCCAGGAACAACATCCCCAGAGCACGGCTGCGTATGCTGAAGATGAGCCTGGTCATCGTCTCCTCCTTCATCCTCTGCTGGACTCCCTACTACCTGCTGGGGCTGTGGTACTGGTTCTGCCCCCGGGCCATGGAGAAGAGGGTCTCGCCCGCCCTCGCCCACATCCTCTTCATCTTTGGCCTCTTCAACGCGTGTCTGGACCCCATCACCTACGGACTCTTCACTATCCCCTTCCGGAGGGGCTGGGGCTGCCCCTTTGGGCACAGACCCAAGCCCCAGCCGCCCTCCCTGGCCACCGGCTCCTTCCACTGCTCGGCCTCGTCCCTTCCGCAGCAGCGGGAGCTGCTCGCAGGCACCAGCTCCTGACACAGCAGCTCCCTGTGAGGGAGCACGGTCCTGCGCCACGGGGATGCCCCGGGGTGCTCAGCTTGGGGGACAGCAGCAGTAGGACAGGTCTGCCAGGGTTTGGGGAGTCACTGCCGCTGCCTGCACCCCAAAGTGCCTCTGCCGGTGGTGGGGCTGCTGCGGGTGCCTCCAGCCCCTTTTTCTGCCTGCCAAGCTCTGTGTGGCAATAAAGCACCCCATGGCCACTTCCTGCCCTGCCTGCGTCCCTGGTCGAGTTGGGCTGGGGTCCGCAGAGCCCCGGCTCACCGTCGCTGGCAAGGTGGCTGGTCTGGAGCTGGTCCTGGCTGCTCCATCCCTGCCATGGGGTGGTCCCAGTGCAGGGCAGACCCCAGGGTGCGCAGGGGGGTGTCCAGGGCTGGTGCCTTGTCTCCGCAGCGGCTCCTGGTCCCAGTGGGGCCCATGGCTGCGGCCCCGCTCCGCACGGGAGCTCCCGGCTCCCGCTGAAGGTCACTGCGAGGCCCCGGCTGCTCCCGGCTGCGCGGCAGCTGCCCAAGGCCGGCGCTGCCGCAGGAGCCCTGGGGAGCGCGAGCGGCAGCTTCACTGCAGCCAGGCCTGAGGCAAGCGGCCGACTCCAGGCAGCGTCTCTGGGGCTGCCCCTTTGCTGCAGTGGGTGCTGGGCTCCCTCAGCACCTCCATCCCTGCTGCAGGCGGGACCCGGAGCTGTGCGTCCCGGGAGCGGTGCCCAGCGCAGCCGCGGTCGCAGGGTTTATTGGGAAGTAGCAAAGCAAAGAACCAGTGGTGCTGCTCCTGGGGGTCTCTGCCTTGAGGGGCTCCAGCGAATGGGGCTGCGGTCCCAGGGGCACAGGGGATCCTTGCTGTGGCTGGGCAGGGATAGGGCTTCCTTGGGATGGATGAGGCAGAGCTGTGCCCACTGCTGCTGGGATGTGCAGGGGGGACAAGCCCCAGGTGTGGATGATGGTAAGTATGAAACAGTCTGCAATACTTAAAGGGGTGACAGTTAACTTGGAGAGGGGCTTTGCACAAGGGCCTGTAGGGACAGGCCAAGGGGAACGGCTTTAACCTGCCCGAGGGGAGACTGAGATGAGCTCTTAGGCAGAAGCTCTTCCCTGGGAGGGTGCTGAGGCGCTGGCACAGGGTGCCCAGAGAAGCTGTGGCTGCCCCATCCCTGGCAGTGCTCAAGGCCAGGTTGGACACAGGGGCTTGGAGCAAGCTGCTCCAGTGGAACGGGTCCCTGCCCGTGGTAGGGTTTGGAAGTGGATGAACTTTAAGGGCCCTTCAACCCAAACCATTCCATGATTCTGTGATCTTGCATAGGGCACATCACTTGCTCCTGTGGCAGAGAAAGGCCTGAGAAATACTGTGAGGATAGGGACTTGCAAACCAATGGGAACCACAGGACCCATCAAGTGACGGGAATCACCAAGCAATGAGTTCCAGCTGAAACCTCGGCTGTTTATGAGTCAGCAGCTCCTGGGTTACTGCTGAGGCTCTTTCCCCAATGTTCTGACAGTGTACCAGTTGTTGGACAAGGGTCTGGAGGGTTGATGCTGCTCCAGGACACCCACCTGCTCCCCCAGGGAAGCTGGAGAGCAGACACAGACCGGCCGGAAGAAGGGACAGAGCCGCAGGCAGGGCAATGCAGTGGGAGGTGATGCTGCGAAGGCCTGCCAGGGGATGCCTATACTTGGGTGACTGTTTCCCACCCAACTCAGCAGCATCACGGCATCCCCTGCTCCCTGCAGCGCCCTCCCCGCAGCAGCACCTTGCAGAGCACGAGGTGACCCAGGAGAACGCTGCTGCCCGCTCCCCGCGCAGCTCAGCATGGCGTGGCTGAGGCTCTAGGTGCTGGTGCTGCCGCTGCCGGGGCGCTTCTCAGTGAAGAAGCTTTTGAGCAGCAGCACTTGCCCAATGCTGACCACAAAGAGGATGAGGGTTTCCCCGACCGACCAGTACGAGACCCGGCCGTTGAGGTCCTCGGCTCTGCTCCGGTCCTGTGCTTCCCGCAAGCGGTAATGGGTCTGGGAGTCGATCACCGTGTTCAGCGCCTCGTGGATGGTGACGCAGGCAGACTCCATCTGGGGAGACAAGCACATTCCAGCGCTCCTGCTGCGGCACGGTGCTGAGGACAGTGCTGGGACACCCAGGGCATGGCAGCAGTGCCCTGAGCTGCTGGGTCTCTGCCAGCTGAGCTCTGCCCAAAGGGGCAACGCTGGAGACCTCCCAGTGAAGGGAACCCACTGCAGGCACCACAGCACAACTGAGAGGCATTGGGGCTGGTCCAGCCCTGTTGTGCTTCCCATGTGTGGGATGGGAGCCGGGTGCTCCAGTTGGAGCAGGTTCAGGCCTGGAGCAGCCCCCCCATCCCTCCCTGGGAGCAGGATGTGGCCCGCATGGCATGGGGTGAGTGGCTGGCGGTTGGCACTTCTGCATTCGGCAGAGGGGAAGGGGCACGAGCCCCAGGCACTGTCCCGTGGGGCCGTTTGGCCACAAGCGGGAGCTGCGGTAGGACCTTCCCCCCATGGCAGCCCCATGTCACTGTGCAGGGACCTACCTGTGTCAGCGCGGTGACGCGGTTGCTCATGTCGGGCAGGATCGGGGGCTCGTCGCCCACCTGGAAGTCGAAGTAGACGGTTTTGTGGGAGAAGGTGGAGAATTCGTTGCTGAAGCAGAAGGTGTAGACGCCCTGGACTTCAGTACGGTGCGGGAAGCTGTCGTACTGCTTCTTGGTCTCCTTGTAGATCGTCCTGCCATTGGGGTCCTCCACATAGCAGTCCACATCGTAGTGTCCGCCGGTGATCACCTGCGCAAGGAGATGCAGCAGCACATGCCAAAATCTGAGGTGAGAGCACGTGCTTTTGCCCATACCTCACATGGCCAGCCTAGACTGAGGGAGCAGTGGGGAAGTTGCACCCTGCAGGGCACACAGCTCAAGTGGGGCGTCACAGCTCAGGGTGGGATGCTCGGGTCCAGGCCTGGGTCAGGGGCTCCTGTGGTCACATCCCAGTGCTTGCTCCAAGACAGGCACCACTGGACGTGAGAACAGGGCTGGGAATTGGTCGTGGTGCAGTGCAGGGGGAGACGGGAACTGCATGGGAAAGGTGAAGGTGCAGCCCTGCCAGGGGCTCTGTGGGACGTGGGAAGGAGCACAGAGCTGCGGGTATGTGAAGAGGGTGACGGGCACAAGCAGGGGGCGATGGTATGGGCAGGGCAGGGACATGGGGCTTGGGGGCTGGACAGAGGGCAGTGGGCACAAGAAGGGGCAGGGGCGCGGGCAGGGGCGCAGGCAGGGCAGTACCTGGTAGTCCAGCGTGAACTTGAGGCCGCGCTCCAGCTCCTGGTGGAAGCACTGCCGGTCGCTGTCGGGCAGCTCGAACGTCAGCTCGGTGCCGCCGGCCCGCAGCGCGCCCAGCACCGACACCAGCATCAGCAGCGGCAGCGCCCGCATCCCGGCCCGCATCCCGCCGCTCCCGCCCCGCCTGACGTGGCGCGCACCCGGCACCGCCACCGGCCGCGCTTCCGCTGGGGGCGGCTCCGGCGCCACCTCCCCGCCCCCGGGGCCGGGCAGGCGCAGCGGAGGGGCCGGCGGGGCGGGACCCAGAGCGGCACCGCGCCAGCATCCCCGGGAGCCGGCCCGTCCTGAGCGCCACGGAACGAGCGTGTGGGAGCGCTGCCCCTGTCTGTTCCCATGGGAGAGAGAGCTCGGGGAGAGCCCGCGGGTGACGAGAAGAGAAGGCTCCTGAAGGGGAGAGCTGAGAGCAGCTCCAGGGCCTGAAGGGGCTGCAGGAAACCTGGAGAGGGGCTTGGGACAAGGGATGTAGGGACAGGCCAAGGGGAATGGCTTTAACCTGCCCGAGGGGAGACTGAGCTGAGCTCTTAGGCAGAAGCTCTTCCCTGGGAGGGTGCTGAGGCGCTGGCACAGGGTGCCCAGAGAAGCTGTGGCTGCCCCATCCCTGGCAGTGCTCAAGGGCAGGTTGGACACAGGGGCTTGGAGCAAGCTGCTCCAGTGGAAGGGGTCCCTGCCCGTGGCAGGGGTTGGAGCTGGAGGGGCTTTGAGGTCCCTTCAACCCAAACCAATCTGTGGTTCTATGACCCAGTTTCTGCAGACATCCCATCTCCAACCGCTGCCCAAAGGCATCAAACATTTTTTTTAAGAAAAAGAAGACAAACACAAAATATCAGGGTATTTAGTAACGAATGGAGGAGGTGAACAACAGGATTTCAAATTCACACTCTGAAAGACAAATGTCACTTACAGCGCAAACATGCCTGAAATTCAATCTGAGACATTTGACCTAAGTAGAAACTTTAAGGCTGTAAAAATATAACACACCCCCCCCCCCTCCTTTGCTCTAAGCCACACATGTAAACCTCAAACGGTCCTAGAGAACATCCCTGGGCTGTTACAGCCAAAGCCCGGCTCTGCCTTGTGCAAGGCTCTGCAGCAGCCTGTTGAGCACTGGCTCCTGCCCTGGGCAGGGCACCGGGTCCTCGCCAGCCGTGTGGGTGGATGGATGGATGGATGGATGGATGGATGGATGGATGGATGGACGGACAGCTGGAGCACGTGTGGGTGAGGCAAGAGCCAAACGTGCAGCAGTGGGTGTCAAAGCCCTGCTGCCTGTGCAGTGGTGCCAGGACATGTTAGCCCTCACTAGGGTACAGACCCCAGTACTCACCGGGCAGTGGTGCAGGGCCCTGGGCTGGCTCCCTCCATGCCACCGGCTCCTTGTGGTCGGTTCAGCGGAGGCTGGTGGCAGCTACGGCACATCCAGCCCATGGTCCTGTGGTGTGGGGGACAAGCAGAGCTCCCCACAGAGCCCGGCTGAGAATGGGGCCCTGCAGTGCCCGATTGCACTGCCCTGATGGTGCAGAGCTGCCTGGGCTGCCGGTGCAGGATGCCACATGTCCCACAGCAGGGTGCCACATGTCCTTGTCTGCAGGGCAGGGCCATGGGGTCCCCAGCCCTGGGAGGGAGCCGCAGTTGTACCCCCATCTCCAGCTATGTGGGTGTGTTTGCTGGCTTGGGCTCATGCTGCCTGGTGGTGGGCCTGTGCAGAGATGCTGCAGACCCCAGCATTGGGCAGAACCTCCCCACGCAAAAAGGAGCACTCCCAGTCCTGGAATTCAGTGCAGTGGGAAATGCCCCTGAACCTTGGTCACTGCAGAGATGGAGATAAACCCGCTCCAAGCCAGTCACCAGCCTGCAGCAACAATGGGTGAGCTC